GTCCACAACTACCGAACGAGGAGCTACAACACGGTTTTCAGCGCCACCGGACGGTACACGACGCTGCAATACTCACAACGCTCCTGCTTGAACGGGCGCAACGCAAGGGTCATGAACTCTTCCTCGTATCGAAGGACTGCCTGAAATGCTATGATCGTGTTCCCGGATGGGTAATGGAGTACGTGTACCTTCCTTCCTTCAACTTGGCATCCCCGCAACGCCACGACGCCTAATGGCTGCTTTTCTGACATCGGGGCAAATCGACATACGCACTGCATTCGGCTGGCTGAACGGGGGCACCCGAGAATTTGGGCTCGGCCAGGGATCGATACTCGCGGTCATGCATATCGGGTATTATATGGACGTCCTCCAACGCCGTCAACAGCAAGGGCCCGACGGCGTTAACATCCTACACCATCAAAGCCCGGACGGCGCACCAGTCCGACGCGTCATCAATAGTACGCTGTTCGTTGATGATGCGCTAGACATTGCCACCTCGTACACTGGTATTCAACACCGGGCTACAACATCGAACATCTTCACGGGCATTCACGGATCCGGGGGTGTATTCGGGGCGGCGAAATCGTTCATGATATACTACTCCCCCAGTGGCCTGCACTACCCCACAGTCGACCTCAATGACGGCCTCGGCCTACCCCAACCGGTCACTATGGCACCACCGATGGAAGGGTTCAAGCACCTCGGTATACAACAAGGCTTTGGTGGTACGTGGGACATCACAATCAGCGCCACCTGGACGAAATTAAAGCAGGACGTTCACCGCGCAGCCGCTTGCCAGCTTACAATACGCCAATTTCAATACCTCGTCAACTCGGTGTGGTTGCCACGGATACTTTACCGTACGACGCTCAGTCCGGCCATCCACGTCGCATCGGCCTTCGATACTCTCATACGACGGGCAGCACGGCGCAACTTCCGGCTCCCCTATTGCACACCACGGGCGTTCTACTACGACACGGTCCATGGGCTTGGTCTCCGAGCATGTGAAAACCACAGTGAGGTGGCGCGAATACATGCAGTACTCCGCATCTGCAACACGCCTGGTAGTCCAGTCTATGATGTCATGATGGAGGCACTCGAAGACTGGGCTAAACGTCACGGACTTACAACACACCCACTGGCACAACCTGCACAGATGAAACCGGCCGACACGTCATTCCTTGGTACAACGCTCGGTCTCCTTGCGAAACACGCGGCCACCTGCGGTGTAGTGGCGCGCTGGACTTCACCCACGTGGCAGGCATCGAAGCGTTACAATGACCGGCCCATCCTCCCACTGCTGGAAGGACAACAGGTCGGTGCACTCATGGTGATTAATCGACGCTTCCCATGGCAACTCCGGCACGTCGGTGACGTCTGCAACATCGATGGGACATATGTATTAGACGACGACACATTAGCGGTCCGCACGGGGTGGCCCGGGACGGCACTCCTCACACTGCGACGCGTCCTTCAGGCAATACCTACAATACCGGGATCCCTCCGGCTCCGGCTGCCTGTAGGGCGCGCTCGCCACGGCCGGCCACAACTATGGGCAACTACGTCGATACACCACTTTATGGCCTCGTGCTCCGGGCGGTGCTGCTAACCCGGCCGAACTCGCCGGACGAACTCAGCTATGTCATCGGCCAACGGACGGCTCTGGCCACCCGCACCGATGCCTCCGGTATCCAGCTTACGATCACCAACTGGCACGAACACCGGAGGGGGTCAGGTATATGGTCGGCACCGCGGCCACACCACTGGCGCGGCCGGACGCGATGGGAACACGCCTCCAACTGCACGCCTATTCAGATCGTCTACTCACCGCGGCGGATGCGTACGACCACGGTGCTCGTCTGGACGGACTCACACTGCGGCGGCCGTACGGGTCTCAACTCCCGGAATATTGTTCTGGACACATACCGACGGGACAGGGCCCGAATCGAACAGGCCCACGGGGCAGCCGACGCTGGACTCTGCACGTACTGCTCTCGTCCCCCGGGGTTAAATGAGTGCGGTAGGTGCCACCGGGTGCATCATGCACACTGCGCGCCTGCTGAGTGCGAGACCGCGCCCCCTTCTCCATGGCAAACACTCCACCACCAGTCGTTTCCGACACAGCAGGGCCACTCCAGCAGACCCATTACCCTACCGGCCGGGGACGGCAGTGTCCTCCGAGGGGGTACACCTACGGCACAAGGTAGCTGGGCAGTGCAACATGGCGCGACCATCGTCTACGGCCGCACGTACTGCAACCCCGAGGACCTCTCCTCAACACGTTGTGAATCACACGCGATCATCGCCGGCACCGTTCTCGGCCACGATCTCGGCCCACAGATATGTGACAATACGAGCGCTGGGGCCATCCACCGCGCCGCACGCCGTAGGATGCTGAAACCGTGGCCGATCCGATACAGTCACCCTTTCCGCGCGGAACTCCGGGGCCTCATGTCGGTGATGCGTCCAAGCGGCTCTTTCCATACTGTGTGGGTCCGATCCCACCAGGAACATGAACATACAACCGACCGGCAACTGCAAGCACAACGGGAGGCACTCGCGACAGTGGACACACTGGCTACGGAGGCTCATCACAGTGATATGCCCAGCCCACAAACGCTTCCCATTATACTCGATACTTGGCAACTCATCGACCACAACGGCCGCCCGGTCATGGGCAACACACTCCGCTGGCTAGGCAACTGGCTTGCCACGAACAAGTGGGCGGACCAACAAGCGGCTTACTCCACGGACCGCCGCACTATACTGCCCACCGGACTCGAAACACCGAGAACGTGCGGCTGGAAGAAGGGCCTCACACGGTTCTACTGGCGGACTATCGCGATGACTTTACATACCAACGCAGCGAAACACCGGTTGGACGGCCGTTGGGGTCCGCACTGCCGACTCTGCTATGAAAACCCGCGCGACACGGTCGGCCACCGTTTCGGGATCTCGGCACCGACATGCTCTGAATCCTGTCACCTCGATAGCCGTCTCGGACATCGACTGCATAAAACATGCACGATGAGCTGGCTACCGGACCAGCACATATACCCACCACGGATGGCTCAAGAAATGGCAATTACGTTCGATTTACCACTGGCCGAGGCATGGCACGAAAATGAACGGCAACGGCCCACACAAAGTACAACATACCAACCCATGATCATGCTCACCGGCTCCTGGCACATGCATGGGCTCCACCTCTCCCGACTTACGCAGCTTCCGCTCGCCAGTACCTCCGCCGGCCAACTTATTGCCCAAATACGGTGGGAAAACATGCAACTCCGCGCCGGCCAATACGGGTACATCACACCACGATGGCTGGGCCGTACTGCGCTATCCGCTCAACCCCTTCTGGCACAGCGCGAGATATGGCTCGCACAACAAATGGGCACGGAACAGCCGGCTACATACAACGGCCCCTGGGACAGCTGCAGTACACGAAAGGAAGACGCCCCGGCACTAGGTCACCGGTTCTGGTGGATCGATGCTATACTACAAGGCCGCACCGACCAATGGTGGAGGACACTCGCAACCGAAATCACAACGACGGCTGCAATGGCCGGCCCGTATGAGTATTGGTGTATCTGCTACAAAAACTCCACCGGACACCGCACACTGGACGCGTTAGGAGCCACGTGGAACCTGCATATCCCGGCGGGGCAACTACGAATGCGCCACCACTCCACAATTACGTACTCATCGCCGCCAAGATGGGCTGGGCTGACAAATATGAATAAGGTGGACATCCTCCTGGGGTTCATTGTGTCACCAGACTCCGACACAAGCACGCTACCGACACACTGGGCCCACGCGCTTCAACACTGGGGCCAAATGACGTGGCTCATGAATCCACCGCGCAACACTCTTCCCAGCCCCCCACCGGCCTACACCCAGGCAATCCGATGGGATGCCGATAACGACGGCGACCCAGAAGACCCGACGTGCCACGAGGTGCACAGCTGGCTGCGAGCCAGCTTCCCACATATATACCGGGCACCAGCCGCATGGCAACGGCTCCCGACTATGACTAACAACACGCTACAATGGGCCATTGCACTCTCTCTCACCCCACGCCTCGGCAAAGACTTTCACCGCCGATGGTTCACTACCCATTGGACTACACTACACGCATACTGGACCCACACGTGTCACGAACAATACGTAGCTACCGCACAGGACGGCGATACCGCACTAGCACAAGCGGTCAACACCGGCATCAAACAGCGCCGCCGGGCTCACGATGACACCCCGGCTGCCATGGACACAAACCTACGCCAAGCGAAAGCCCGCCGGACCCGTGACATAGACACATGGCTTGGGCAGCGGGCAAAAGGCCTTCTCGGCAGCCCCGCCGCATCACACGACCAACAAATCGTTACACGAACGCGACGACGCAGACCACTGCGACGACCACCGGAAACAAGTGCTGCAAGGCACCAACAACTATAGCAACACCGACCAGACACGTCCCACAGCACACCGCACACTAACGAAGGCCCGACAGACTGAGGCCGATG